CCGTAAGCACTTGGTGAAGCATCGCAAAACACATATACTTCGGATTGCTCATTTTCACAATCCAGAAAACAATATCTCGGAATAGTAACATCTATCAATTTTTCAATTTCTTTACACCACTTTTGCTGCAAGTCCTCCGGCAATTCTTCGTCCCAATCACACGCTCTCTCCCAAATTTCCTGTAACAATAACTTTATGCGTATCACAAACGGCGCAATCAAACCAATAGGATCAAAGATTTTTGCAGCTGTCTGTAAAACACATCTTTTAGTGCGTCGCAGCGTTTTCCACGAATCCACCAAACCCTTCACCTCCAATGACAACTCATCTCTATCAGGATTCCAATTCAACCCTAGGACTTTCAGTTGTTGAACTCCCACTATCTCACTGTCACTAAGTCCATTTTCTATCCACAATTTTTCTAATTCTCTACTGTTCGACCTCAGTTTCCTTAAATTAAATCTAACACTCTTTAATAATGATACAGCATCCGACGACAACTCAAATGATTCTTTCACACTGTCTCCACCATAATATAAATCGTCTACGTAAAGTGATGAATTTAACATTTCAAATTACTTTGGTTTACTTTTCCTTATATTTTTTTTATATGATGCTTTATCGTAGCACTCAAAATGAAAGGGGAACTTTTACATCCAAAGGGTAGTCTTTTCATTCTCATAATTTTATGTATTCTTCACTAGGGTTATCTGAATACCAAAGAAATTTTAAGAATTTTTTTCTCTTTCAAGATCTGTTTCAGAAATTTTTATCATTAAGAAAGCCTTCATCTATATCACCATTAAACGCTATTTTGTAATTACGAAATTTTAGAATCACATCAAGAATATTTGGATTTAAATTTGGGCCAGTTTCCAAACAATCGTTTAAAGAAAGATTACCTTTAGATTTTGAACTGCAGTTAAAGACTATACGAACTTTAGTTGTTTCTTTATCTTCCCTAATAACTGCTCTATGAGGCATAAAATACTCATGCTCATCTCTACCACATTCCTCAATAACTCCATTTTGTTTTTGGTCATTTATTATATCCCTATACTCATTAGCAACCCAATCATTTTTAGAAAAATCCTTTACTAACTCATCAAACCTCTTTTTAGCTAAAAAATAATTATTTCCTAATTCATCGTAACTAAACTTCCATAATAAATCAGTTTCATATCTCTCATTCACGAATTTTAAATTTTTCTCAAATTCATCTATCAGCGCTTTATCAACTATATTTAACTCTTCCTTTTCTTTAATTCCTAAAGCATCAAGCTCCCATAATATCTGAACATCTGAAGCGGTTACACAAAAATTCGCTGAAACTACAGTCTTAATATTATGCTTGTAAACATCTTGACTTCCCTGTAAAGCAAACCTGAAAATCGTTGGCACGCAAGTAATTTCCTGGTTTATTTTTTCGAAAGCTGAAGCTTCAATAATCTGCCAAAACACATCTGCCCCAATTAATATCTCAATGGTTATATCACTGTCACAGCAGTCGGCTAAGACTAATCCGCGGGACTGCATAATATTTTGTACTTCTTCATTTGGAACAGAAACAGATGCCGCTGTAATAGTATCGGCCACTAGCACTTCAATTTCAATACACTGATTAGGGTTGTATCTACTAGATAATTTTAATTCTACTACTTCGTATAATTTCTCAGTAGGCTTTGCTGAGCCAAAAGAAAAAACTGACAACCTTTCCTTTCTAATTGATTTTAATTTTAAGCAACTGGCAAGGGACTTCGTACACCAGCTTCTTTTCAGAGCCATTATCACATAATATGCGCGTCATTTTATTGAATTTTGTTTTATCAAATGAGCTAACGTATACACTGCAACGTGAGTAACAGGCACAGATGATTTATGTATTCGGCTTGACCTTGAATACTGAAGCATTGCACTCGAGTTTGTTTCGGCGCCACCGTTCTCTACTTTGGAAACAAGTTTATTTTGTTTATAAAAATCATAAATCTGTGGGATGTTATAAAAATCATAATCTGTGGGAAAGCTCGTCATAGAATGACGAGCTTTCCCACAGAAACAATTTCTGGCTCTACATGTTTTCACATTACACTGCGAAGAAAAACATTTGAAACAAAGGTTATTTTGCTTAATAATTTCAACAATGCTCATTTACTGAAAAGCCTTTTAAAATTAGGACAATTTTGTAATCGAATGGTTTTGATTAGTTTTACACAAAATACATGTTTGATCTCTTGCTCCAGATACATATACATTAGAAATATTTTTGTGATTATAATTACGAAGTTTATTAACATTATTTCCATCCCCTCTTTTATTATCGTTACCTATAAATGATTTTGCAAAAAGGGATTCTGGTTTTTGTTTACCTTTTGATGACAAATAAATATCGCATTCACGACCTAAACTTTGGGGTTCGAACCATGTCTCTCCCTGTTTAACTGGTATATGGGTTTTTAATTCACAATCAAGTTCACTGAATATTTTATCCGAAACCATAAGATCACATAACGATTTAAAATCTTTTACATTTCTCAACTGACAATAATATTCAAAATTTGCACTTAACCTTGATGCAAACTGTACAAAGTTCTCAGATGACAATTTTTGCGTAGAACGAAAATGATTTAAGCACTCTTGAGGGGTTGGTTCAAATTCCTTTAAAATCATGGACTTTAGTTTATTGTAATTATTAATATCTTCTTCCTTCACATATACCATTAAATTAGTGACCTTCTCTCCCAAAATATTTAATAGGATCTCTGCTTTTAAATCTTCAGGTACTTGTTTTGTCCTAAAAGCCCTTTCAATTGATTGAAAAAAGAGATTAAAGGATTCTGCTTTAGTAGGTACAGAAATTGTTAATGTTTTTATACTTTTAATTAAATTTTCCATATTTCGATTTGAGTTGTCCGTTTCAACATTTGGATTTTGTAGCACGTCTTTTCTAGTGTTAGCTAAAGCTAATTCCGCCTCTAACTGAGAAAGTTTTATTTTCTCTAACTCTAATCTAATTTCGTTTTCCGATTTTTGTTTCTCAATTTGTATTTTCTTTTCCTCTAGAATATTATCAATAACATTTTGCACAAATTCAGCATCATTTGCACAAACTTCTGAACTTTCTATTAAAGTTTTCAAAGTAACAATTTTCGTCCCGCTCGGAATTACTAATTCTAATTCCTCCGCGATGAGCGTCAACTCGTCCTTTTTTAATGACTTAAGCAACTTCAGACTCATCTTAATTCAAAGAAAAATACAACCTTGAATTGACAAATAGAATACAATGAGTACAAAAATAAACACAATCAAACTCAACACAGACAAACTCAAATTATCAAGTAGGAACACCTCAATACACAACACTAATAAACAGAATTTAACACTAAACATTATTACAACAAACCAAAATTACTCACCACAATCTACACAATGGAACACCTTCACTTTCGAATTTCGCGCAACACATATTCCCATATCGCCACACTATTTTTTCACACAAAATTCGATGATACACATTATTACCATCACATTCTCACCTAACTCCACTTCCTGACACCAAAAAATGTTCACCTCGTTTGTGAAGGGGGCAGAAATTGAACTCTACACTCATCAAAAGATCGACGCTACCTTTCAGGACAACACATTTATTCCTACTCACTAACATATACTATGATACAGAAAAACTAGCAGGATTAAACAGCGCCCTCTTACGGCGGGCAATGGATGGCGTAACATAATCATTACAATGTATTGTGTTTTATATGTAATAACTGATATAAAATGCTAAAAGCCAAGTTGTTGTTTTAAGGAATGGAGGTTTTTATTTGCTATTGTATTTAAGCATACCACAGCCATCGATTCGTTCATGAAGGCCTGCACATTTTTTTTATCAAAGTTTATTTTATTGTAGTGTTTGTTTTCTGTGTTTATTAATTTTGTCAATTTTGCATTGTTTTACAACAAATATGGATTTAATTAGAAAATAAGAAAAAGTGGATTGTTTTATAATATATTATTAATTAATTTTAATAGAATTTCGTGAATACGTGAAAGAAAATTTTTGGTTTTATATTGATAATATTGAATGCAATAGTTTTTACAAAAGAGTTTCAAGAGAAGGACTAAAAATCATATTGTGTTATTTAAACAAGGATTTTCAAGAAATGTGAACTTTTACAATTATTTCTCATAAATATATATCTTAATATAAATTATATGCAGGCAGAAAGAGCAAACTAACTTCAGTTATGAAATGAATTTGCTTTTTCAACCAAAATATGATATAAATAGATTTTTACCATTTTTTATAAAGGTTTATTTTTATTTATTTTTATATATTGCGGCGTATAATGCACACTTTTAATACAAAAAATAAGACTGATATTTAGAGATGGACGTTATATGCCACATATAAAAATAATAGATTTAAAAATAAGGAAAAGATGAACACACAAAAATTAGATTTCTACATGCAACTAAATGCTGTTTATCTAAGAGAAATGACATAGTTATGAACTGTTATGAATTAATACTGTTTCTGGTTCTCTGGTCATTTCTGATGTCAGAAATGCAGCTATCTTTAATTGGTTGATTTATGGTCCTGACACTCTGCTGAAGAAATTCCTTTTTGATTGATCCATCTTCAAGTCTATTTTGACCCTTCTTATTAAAGTGCTAAAAATGCACTTTGAATTTACTTTAAATATATAAGCTACATTGTATGAGCAAAACTAGCAAATAAAGTATACTGCTAAACTTTTACATTTCACACAGTAGAGACAAGACACTTAAATCTCCATATCATCATGCTTATTTCTTACTAATTGAGGGAAATAGTATATATTGTTATCTACAAAAGTAAAATGTAATACCAAATAATTGTGAAAAAAACTATGTTACAAATGGAACAATGTTTACTGAAGAGATGTTGTGATATAATATTTGTGCACATTATATACAATAATAGCATTACTGCAATTCAAAGGGGAAAAATAAGCACTTACCAATATTAATATAACTAATTGTAGCATATGGAGTAAAATGGAACTCTTCAATTAAATAAGATTCTAGTAATAGTAGTGCAATAATTCTTTCACAGTTTTCACGGCTTAACATTGTTGGCCTATGATCTGGAGGTCGGAGTTTTGGTGGTCCTTTTCCAATCCAAGCCTCAATTAGTTTTTGGCTTGTTAAACGTTCATCTATCATACTGCAGTGTTCTAAGATCCTGCATACAGCTTTATATTCTTTTGCAACATTTTTTGACTTTTCTTCATCTGAGAAGTAAAAGAAATATATTATTTACATAAAAGAACAAAAAAAGAAAAAGTTAACAACTGGTAAAGTAATTCTTTTCATTTATTTGTTTACGTCTTTTAAAAACAAAATACAGATGGAAGTATTTTTAAATTTCCATGCTTTTACAATAAAGAAACATACTGAGAGTATACAATAAGATCTAAGCCTACTCTGACTGTACCTGTACTACTCTACCTGTGACAAGAAGAAACATGTGGAAATGATTGCATGAGCATAGAATTGAATGCAAAGATTGCTGGTAATTATTAGCTGATTTTTTGTAAGGCTGTGAAAGGTAATATCTGCAACATCAAGAACATCAAACATTATTTGGTGATTTTATTCTTGATTACCGAACACATAATACGAGCCAATATTATGGGATATATGGATGCAATCTATGGTGCTACTGCATACTTTGCCAGCATCAAAAGATGGCCCAGCATTTTCAGTAGAGGGCATTACTCAAAGGTGGCATCAAAGAAAGTCACTACATGAACCACTGAAGAAATATGAAATATGTACGAAAGTTGAGTAATCATGATATGTCACACCTTTATATTAGAATATATATAGAAATAATATGTCACACCTTTTAATATTGTGATGGCAATCAATAGAAACAAATCTTGAAAAAAAAAAAAAAAAGAGAGAGAGAGAGATCCTTAAATGTTGGTGCCAGAAAAAGAAAGAAACTAAATTAATTTTTATTTCTATGATAAACATAGATGAATATAAATTTTATCCATGGCTGGTGATAATGAATTTACCAATATGACCCACAAGTGAAATGCAACAACACAGTGTGGAATGACATAGAAACTTCCTCTGCCAACAAATTCAGAATACAGAGTCTGGTAAAAAATGTCTGGCCGTTATTTTTTTAGATAGAAAAAAAAACCACTGATTGATTTTTTGCAGTATAATAGCATGGTAACAGGTGTTTATTATGACATCTTATTGATCTCACTTCAATAGAATGTTAAAGAAAAATATAATGGTGACTCAAGAGAAAAATATTATTTTTGCATGACATTTTACAGAAGGTTCATATTTTTTACACTCCCCTCCTGACAGCACCATATTTAAAAGACTAGCTCCAAAAGACATTTATAAAGACAAAGTTTTTAAAGGTTCCAGAAGAAACTTGGGTTCTATATTTAGTGGGAACATTACCAATTACATTACAACAGAAACTAGAAAATTGATTGCTTGTGAGCCAGAAGAGGAATCAAGAGCTTACCAAAAGATGAAGGAAATGCTTCTAAAGAAATATAAGTTCACTGCTGATAAATTTTGATAGCTGTTTGCTCTACATCAGAAGAAAACAGAAAGCAGTTGGCGTGATTTTAACTTTGAACTGACCAGTTATTTTGAAAATTGGCTTAATTAGAATTAAATATTACAAAATTTAATGATCTGAAGCAACTTATTATAGCTGACCAGATGAAAAAGAGTTTTTCAAGAAAAAGGGATCACTTTTTAGATATTTTGCAAACTTAAAAAACTTATAAAATTTCAAACAAAAAGAATATATCATACATGCACTTTATATTTTGACATACTTATTTATGCACATTTATAACTTACATGGATTAAACTTATCACAATGATCACACATATTATTGCAGTCTGAATTTTCCCACCTTTCTCCAAAATGCTGAGCGATAATTGCACGGCGGCATCTGGAACAGTAGAAACATTTTTAAATCTACATACTGTACATTTAATGTCTGAAAGAGAAAATTTTGTAAATAAGCAAATTTAAATCACGATTTAAAATTTAATCTATTTATATTTAAATATGTGCACTTATATTGCTGAAGTTCAGAGAAACACGGCATTTTGGTGAATGCTTCCACATTTATACTTTTAATCAAATAATGCAGCAATATTTTATATAACTAATCAAACAGAAATACATCTGAATGCTTTGAAAAAATAGTAAATAATAAAGGCATTTTAAAATGTTTCATGGAGGCAATCAAGACAATGACAAGGCAGCATTTTAAAAGTGCATTATGGAAAGCTATAAGCTATATAAAACTTAGAAGGAACAAAATAAAAAAAGTTCAGGTAAGTTTACAATAACTATTTTTTGAAAAGGTTTTCTCCTAATTTACATTCATAATAAAAATATTTTAAATTAAAATTTCAGTGCTTTAATTATATTTAGGAAAAATTATTTAAATCTTAGGTTAAAATTTGTTGATATTAGTTCAGTTATATATGCTTATGGAGAAAGGGGAACCTAAGCATATTCAAATTAACTGGTATTTGCTTATTTTCATTATGCAGCAGACAATAACTTGTCAACAAATATCTGGCTTGCTGTTGCAGTCATGTATACAGTAAAAAAATTAATAAGAGTACCACCAATTTATTATTGTGATCTAGTAAGTTCAAATAAATTTATTTATCTTATTTTTAATGTTTATTTGCACCAGACATGTTACAGTTTCCCAAATCAATTTACATGAGTGATGCATAAAATGGAAATTAACACATTCTTGATTCTTTGGTAATGTGCCATAATCTTGAAAAAAGTGGACAGTTTCTATTTCCATGAACTGGCAAGTTCTAACGTAATCATGAAATTAATTTAAAATTGCTAAGAAAAATCAAATAAAATAAGAATAATATGTGTTTAACAGCAACCAGCTACATTTATTCATAATTACAACAACTAAATAAATATTTATTGAAAAATTAGTGATTAAAATACAAGGCACTGCAATTGGAAAATGATTAGTTATGGAAATTATAGTTAACTTGTTAATATGTAAATGCCAAAGCACTAGAGATCAGAGGAATGCATTATTTGTATAAAAAGCGGTATCTTCTTTTTTCGTTTTAATTATGGCAAATCAAAAGCTATATTTCAAACTAGAAGAGCAGACAATAATCTGCAAGTACATAATAAATTTTTTTAACAAACAACTCCTTTATATATTCTTTTCACATTACAACTCCATATATTACATCTTATAAGCCAGTTTTAAATACATGTGTTTAAAACAAACACAAAATACTGACTGAATTTTTATTAGTTAATCAAATCATTCTCATGAATAAAACTTGCTATCTATAAAAAAAGAATGTCTGTTTGTGTGTTTGTTCACGATTAACTCAATCACTACTATAGCTATTGTCACCAATATTCTACAATTCTTTTCTGGGTCCTGGAAAAGGTTGACGTCCACTTTTTCAAAAAAAAAAAAAAAAAAAGCTAAAATCAGAGATACAGTCAAAAAGTCTTTAATCCGGACTCGTCGGGACTTCGGCGATTCCGGATTATAGATCATCAGTTTAAATCTGGTAAGATGGCATGCAGAAATTATAAAATTAAAAATATGAAACCATAATTTATAAAATAATGAGCAATTATGATCTAAAGGGTATCAAAATTTACCAAAAAAGAAGCCTAATATTTATTTGTTTACTTTATTAAACATTTCTTTCAACGCGCGGATGCGTAAAGCATACCTTACGCATAGCCGAAATTAGAAAATTGCAACCAGAAAACTATTTGATTTGTATTCGTGGTATTTATAATGACGAGGAATTTGATTTAAATCATATCAAAGACGGAGTACATCGAAATTAAATACTACATTTAGTAAAGAATTATAAGCTGAATAAAATAAAAACATCTTCTCTGAAGATAACGATAGTGTTGACAAATCAACTTCCAGTTCACTGCGCGCCGCGACGCCCCCCCCCCCACGCAGAGCAGCGTGAAATTGATAAACAGATTTCGGAACGGTTAGATAAACAAAGAATATGCCTTTATCCATTTTTTGTAGCAATTCGTTTTTTGTTTGATGGACATCGAAACATACTTTCGTTTTCTAGATCCTTTGGGAGCTCCAGCATCGGAAATTCTATTTGACATAATCAAAACTTCAAGCTTACTTTTAGAAAATTGCTCTTACAGTCTGCAAAAAATAATAAGCCGGATCCAATTCGAAGATTAAGGAACAACGCAATCATCAACATTAACTGATAATTAGATAATTTTAGCTTATAGCGTCCGTTATACATTAAACGCGCACGCGAAAACGTATTCTGCACTTGCTTAGTCGTAAATGTCTTGGGCGCACGAGTAAAACGCCTATGCGCATGCGTCAATGCGGCGCATGCGCAGAAAGATTTTAGCTTTCAGGTCCGGATTATGGGTGTCCGAATTAACGACTTTTGACTGTATTAATTAAAAACTCTGAAAACTTACTGTACTCTGAAACTTACTACTCTGAAAACTCTGTCTGTAATTTTTGCCTTTATTTCTCAAAGTGTCAACATTCTCACATGCTGGAGATAAAAATCTGCTTTTTTTCGAGATGTGTTGCCACTGCTCACTTTCAAATCATAGAGTTTGTTAATAAAAAATTGCTAAGTTTTACAATGAAATAAATCTTTGTATGATTTTAATCAGCTGAGATGTTAATTAAAAACTCTGAAAACACTAATTTGGGCACTCAATTTTCTGAGTGGCAACAGTTTTGCACATTGGAGATAAAATCTCTGTATTCCGAAAAGTATTGCTACTGCTCGCTTTCAAATCGTAGAGTTTGTTAATAAAAAGTTTCAAGCCGAAAGCTATATAAACCCTGCTGGTCCGCAGTCAGTGAGAGTGTGCCTCGTTGAGAGGGCAAGTCAGAGTGCCTCATCTAAAGTGCGAGATAGTATTGAGTTAGTGTCTCATCTAGCGAGTCAATCCCTGTGGAGTCGATCGAGTTGACAGCCGGGCAGCAAGTGCCGAGTGGGTCGTCGAGTGTACTGAAAGTCTCGTAGTGTACCGCGGTTAGTGCATCATCGAGAGAGCATGTTGAGCTCTGGGAATGACTGAACCAAAGAGTCGGGAGCTGTGCTCTGTGTGTCGTCGAGTGCATCTCAAGTTGTAGCATGGAGAGTACATGGAGTTCCGAGAACGACCAAGCAGAGTCGGGAGCTGTACTCTGGTGCTTTGCAGTGTCTCCATCATTATTGCCTAACAGTGTGAATGCTGTGTCGCTGAATGTGTGAGCATTTTTATAACAGTTCGACGACTGTAAAAGTGATTTTGGAGCTATCTGATTAATATTGGTAAATAAAGTGTGTTTCGATACTTCATCAAGTGTCGTCGTTACTCACTCCAAATCTACGAACCCCGTACGGTTGTGAAGGAGGAAAATAACGTAACAACTGGTGTCAGAAGAAAAGAACAACGTAACAATATATATATAAAGAAGAATGCCTGTTTGGGTCCTTGCATTATTGATATTTGATCAATTATGATCAATTTTTTGCCACATTTAATCAACTAAAATTGAATATAGGTGAAATATTGGATGGAGCTTGAGCTTTTATGACCATTTGATTAGAAAGACAAAAACCATTAAAAACTATGTGCTATTGTTGCTGATATAATGAGAAAGAATTATTCTATTTTTCTACCAAAATTTTTTATGTAGGTTCCATGTCCCATCAGATTGGAAAATGTATAACTATGAATCAAATTTTTTGCATCATTATTAGAGAAATATTACAGCGATATCATTCTCTGTATTGTTAGATACATTACACTCAATCTAACTTTACTGACATCAAGTACTTCCGCTAGTATTAAATAAATATGGAAGGAACTATTTTGTTTTTCCATTATGAAGAGTTTTCATCCTCAGTTTTTTTTTTTTTTTTTTTTTTTTTTTTTTTTTTTACATAATATAGCATTCTGTACTTTCAATGAAAAAAATTTTTTTTTATGATGTAACAATAATAAATTAAGTACGAAAAATCAATAGAAAAATTATTATGACACATAATTACAATACTTTTTTCCAGGACAGAGGCATTATTAACCATGATTATAAATCGAAAAGAATCACCCTATGTATTACTTCCTATATCAAATATCATACACACCACAGAAGATTGCAAAGATGAAAAAACAGAAGTCATGAATAATCAATCTACAACACTATAGGATGTACATTTAGTAAAATATTATGATAAACTCAGAATCCCATAACTCAAGAAAATGCAGTTTTAACTGCTTTGAAATGAAAGTTGATTCTACAGATTAGTGGAAAACTAATGTGAGAATATCCATATATTCACAAGATGGCTTCCTGTAACAACTGTATACTACATATACAGCATTAATTTTACTTTAACTGTTAATCCCATGACTTTTGCCTTTTCAACATATGCTATGAGGGTCACTCTGAAATTTTTGAGATACACATACGTTTTACACACATCCAGTCAATGTACTTCTGTAGGCGATTTTTCCAAAGATTAAATTCATAGAGACATTCATTTCTTCGAATTAGTGAAAAAAAATGCATTTAAAGCCTCATCAGTCTTATCTTTGGAATGAAAATGGCATCCACATAAGTTCCTTTAGATTAAAAAATAGCCAAAAGTCACAAATAGCTAGATCGGGTGAATATAATAGATGTCCTATCACTTTGATGTGTTTTTATTTAAGAAACTCAACTGTCAGTCTTGTTGAATGAGAATATGCATTGTCATGTCGGAGCATCACTCCTCTAACGTTAATTTCTCGAAAAATTTCTGGAAGACATTTAGGGGTGTACTAGTTAGGTGTGACTGTCTTCTGTCCTTTCAGCTTTGACTAGTCCAGTACTTCTGAAGAAAATGGTATACATTGTTTTTATCAGAGCACAATGTCTTTTTACCATTGTAGGCATGGGATCCATCTTCAAAGGCACATTTACTTTCTTGATGTGCTGAAGTGTCAAAAAATAGTGTTTACATTTCATCACCAGTTATAATTTTAGAAATAATACGGTGGTCACCATCTTTACGTAATTTAAGGGTTTCTTTACTGATTCTGACATGCTTCTCTTTTTGGTGCTGTTAAATTATGGGGAAGCCAATGACAAACTAGTTTTTTACACACAATTCTTTATGAATAATTTTATGTTTGGTGGCAGATCTAAAGTTAATTTCTTTCTACATCATTTTGTAGGTGCAGTGAATCATGGATTAACATTTTCCCTATGGCAGAAACATTATCCGGGATTACTGACAATGGGCTTTGTGTGTGTTCTTCATCCTGAGGAGAGTTGCAACCTCTGTGACTTTCTCTAAACCATCTGAATACAGTAGCATGAGAAGGACCTTCATTTCCAAATGCTTACTGCAGATGTTGAATGCATTCTCCTTACTTAATCTCACTTTAAAATCATAAAAAAATTGAGTAATGATGTTCTTGTGCCAACTCCATTTTTCCTTCTGCCTAAAATTTATTCTATGCTATATTACTTGCAATTGGCCTATTAAAAATCATCTGCTGGGCTAAAAGAGTTCATATTTTAAAATCTAACCATTAACTTTTTCTGCCGCTTATCCTCTGTGCATATATCAAAAATGTCGGACTGACCTCCATATTACACTGGGCTGATATGACAGAAAGCAAAACAAATACTTAATAATTTAAAGGGGCATGTATTTGAAATACATAAAAAAGGAAAATTTATTCTTCTAAAAATCGTACATGCTCTACATTGTAATTACTCAAGGGAGGTTACTATGTTTTTGTTTTAAAACTCAGTCATGTATATGGATATTTTGATAAATGAAATTGTTGATTGAGAGGAGGAAGTTAATTGTACTATATACTATAATAATTACACTGTTTAAATAGTAAAAAAACTACACAAGTAATTATATTAATAAACTGCATAAACTGCTGCTAATTATAACATTCTGATCTAGCTGAGTTATTTCAATTTAGACTTACATCCATTATATTGATGAATGGTATACATGTAGTGAAGTATGATGCTAGATGAGACTTTTCTGGAAGATGTGATTCTGACAGCATTGCTTTTAAGGAAGGGTTCCTAGAAGAACCAGCTCTACTGGGAGTGATACCTTGACTAGCTATTTAAGCGATATCCCAGTTGCATGGAATATTTTAAAACTTCCTGAAAAATGGTTTGCTTGCAGCTATATCCCATGTACAGGTCAACCAATCATACAAAAACTCAACTTCAGAAGGATCATGTGAATTTTCCAGTATGGCGATGGCTGTAGTTCTGAGATCGTGGACAATATAAATAGTCGACTTTATAGAAGAAATATGAAAAAACATATATACATGTAAACCAATAAATTCTGAGGTTGTGGTAAATTCTGTAGTTCTGAGGTTGTGGACAACAAAAATAAAAGCTGATTTTATTGAAGAAATATGGAAAAAAAAAAACTAAATATATATATACACACACATTGCTGTGTTTTTATAAAATAACAGTCTAAGTCATTTTCAAAATGTTCATATATTGATTAAATTTACTGGAAATTTCAGAGTAGATTTACTGAAAATCTCAGAGTAGACAGTGTGTTATGACATTCTGGTACACTCTGCGCAAAAAAAAAAAAAAAAAAAAAAAAAACAGTTCCAGACATTCCAGTCTACTGGGCCAATTAACTAAATTCAAACTGTGTTTTCCATGTCTCAAAAGTGCAACTTAGGATATATATTATATTTATATATAGCACTATTCTAATATAGATATTTTTACACAAAATTTGACTTTTTTAAAAAATAATATACCAATTTTATATTAATAAACATACCTAATGACCAATGCCTTTTTATTATCTTCATCAACAACATAAAAATTTAAAAATATTAAAAAGAAAATACTGAAATGCTTCCATAAGTGAGTGATACAGCATGGAATTTGAAAGCAAACATCTCTTTCACCAATCTGTGCTATAATACATTTTGGGTAGGAGGCATTCAAGTATGTTTAGCAAGTGAAGATGATAATCTGACTACATAGATTTTGTGAAAATAGGGATTCTGAGAAATGTTTTTCAACACTGCTATTCGCAGTTATAGTAGATATTATAGCAGTCTAAAACCAAACAGTAAAAATGTTTCACTATTAATATAATATCCTTCCAATGCAGCTAACAATGCTGTTATTAAAAGGGAATTCTGAGGGAAGAGGGAGAGAAACTACATTTCTCTTTCTCAGAATTACTGCAAGATGAAATAATATTCACTTGCATTTTCCTTTACCCGTGTAAGAGTAACGAAAGTCTTATTTTTGAATAATACAGTATATAAAACATAATGCTTGTATTCAACAGAAATACGGTGAACTTCCTGATAACCAGTGATTATTCTAGAAAATTCAGTCCTCTGTTGATATTTTCATCATATAGAGATGATGTTCAGTATCAATGTTTGTTTATGTTCTCAGAAGTACTGTACATAGTTTGAGGTATGTTATAGTGAGGAGGATTCACTATATCTTCTTACTAAATATAAAAATATATAATAACTTTACCTAGACAGATCAAGGCAATATGCTATCATAGCATACAGATGCTCTAAACCTTTCTGCTCAGTGAAAACCATTGTGCTTTGTCGGAAGATGTCTGGGAAACGATAGAAGAGGATGCATGAAGCTAATTGATCATCTCTACCTAAAAATCATCCTTTACATGATTTATACAATAATTTACTGATATTTATAACAAAAATCCTGCTTACAAGGTACACAATTATCTGATTTCATGTATATAAATAGAATTAAATCAGTAAATATTTTAAATCATCAATAAATACAAAGAAGATGAATAATTATAAATTTATAACTTTAGAAAATTAGAAATTTTACAAGAGAATGAAAAATACATAACACCACATATTAAACAATTATTGAAATATATGACATTAATAAAAGACAGGTAAGGCAGAGAAATTTATTATGCCTTTCATCAACAATTGTAAGATGAAAACTCTATTTATGTAAAATATAGTTGTTCTTTTTAACTTAAAATTTTAATAGTTAAATCAGGGTAATCGTTTAGCAAAAATATTTCAGACTAACTTATGCAAGAAAAAATACCATGTTAAATATTAAATTTATAAATGCTTATTACTTTAAGGCATTATAGAACATTACTATCTTATTATCAAAAATGAACCTAACATAAAACTACTAAATTAACATGATTCTCCTGTGTTCAAGAAATACAAAAAGAAAATTTCATTGTAGTTATTTTTTAATTTTTTCATTTACATATAGACATAACGTATTTTCTCCCTTCTTCCAGTATGACTCCATGGTGTCCGGATCAGCAGACTTGGCACGTATTTCGAAAGGTTCAGGTTCGAGTCCCGGCAAGGACATTGCTCATTTTTCATGTCTCTGACTTTAAAAAAATCCTAATGACACTACAGTGGCACCCAAACTAAAAGGGAGGTAGATGATGATTCTTCACCACCGAGATTTAGCGACTGGGTCCCCTAATCCCCAGTCACCCTTTAAAAGGGGAGTATATAAGGTATTTTCTCCCTTTTTCCAGCATGCCTTCATGGTGAAATGGTCAGCACATTCAAAATGTCCAGATTCAAATCCTGGCGAGAGCATGGCTCATTTTTCACGTCAGTGGCTTCAAAAAAATCCTAATGACTCTACAGTTTATGTATACATACTTCATAAATCATGTTTGCTTTAAATACACGATGTATACTTCGCATGCTTTATTCATTCGCTGGATTGGGTATTGTGGGCAAGATTTGGATCACAAATGTCTTTAACCGCTTGCCTGATTATCCCGAGTTATCTCGGGTTCGTATATATTGCAGTTAATTATTATCCCGAGAAAACTTGGGCGAAGCAGAATTTGTTAGTATGATTTCCTTTATCCCGGTTTTATTCGGTCTGGAGGAAATAAAAGAAAATATTCAGCTTTGATTCGCAATTTGCCAAATTTTGTTGGTTAGGCGATTCTTTTGGAGGGATTAGTCACATGTTTCCCTATTGTATAGCATATGTTGGCTTGTGGATTAGTAATGTATAAAGAAGGATGCATGCGCTGAAAAAAATAAAATAATGGCGATGATTTTTCAGATAGTGATTATGAAGCGGTGGAAAAAAATCAAAAAAAAAAAATCAAATCCAATGAGACAGTGTACTCTGTGCTCCCGTGAAAGAGATTCCAGCAGTAAGCCAGTAAGAAAAGAGACCAGATACCAGTGTAGAATGTCAGGTATCACTCTGTGTTGTCCCTTGTTTCAAAAACTATCATACAAAGATTAATATTTCACTTTTTTCCGTTTGCCCGAGATAACTCGGGATAATAAACTAATATTAAAAATAAATGTTTTTACACCTTCAAAAAATTAAAAATTCAACTTAAAATCTACATATTTTGATTTGTCTCGTTTTGTTGTATTTAATAATAAAATAAAAAAATGTGATGATTCTTTTGCAATATTTTTCAAAAACATTTGTAAGGGAAGCGGTTAAGGAAACAAAGAAGGCAGTATCAGTATGAGTTTGAATGAGACAGTGTAACAGGACTATGACAAGCTGGATTTTCTTTAAGTGATATTGCAGAAAGATTTAGCAAGGATGCATCCACTGCGCAGGCATGTTGGCAGCAGCGGTCACATGAAGGTACTGTCTCAAGAAGACCAGGGGTTCACCCACACATGTGCCAACACTCAAAGGAAAAGCTGCCATATCCAGTATTCAGGGCATGTCTGTGGCACATCATACTACATGTGCAGCAGACATTCAAACTTTTGTTGGCACCAGAAAAACCCAACAAACCATAACAAACTTATTACTATGACAAGGATAGTATTTAGGGCATGTCTGTGGCATATCACACTACATGTGCAGCAGACATTCAAACTTTTAATGGCACCAGAATGACACAACAAACCATAACACACTGATTACTATGACAAAGACAATCTGGTTTGGAGGGATAGCTCCAAGCCAGATGGTCTGTAGCAGCAATACCACTAACTTCAAATCACCGCAATTTGTGACTCTGGTACCATCAAATTAGAGCTTACTAAAAGGCAGAGTCCCAGCAACAAATTTATACATCAGATGGTTACTGCACTGGTTATGTTGCTATTTTTGAGCCATTTTAGGAGTACTTTTCAACATGGTTATACTCATCGCCATGCTGCTGCTATCCCTCAACGCATTCTATAGTGGCCTTGGCCTGCGAGATCTTCTAATTGTTCTCCAATCGAGCACGTATGGAACATGATTGGATGACAAATTCAATGTCATCCACAATCAACATAGATTGCTGCTGATTTTAATAACCAATTGCAACAGGCATGAAACTCCATCCTACAAAATGACATACAAGACAAGCATGGCATTAAGGTATACACTTTTCATATGCTTGGCATTCAACATCATGATAGCTACGGAATTATTAATATACCACCATTTCATATTTGAAATGATTTTTCTCACACATACTTGTGTGAACCTGGCAATTTGTATCTAGACCTTTACGGCTGTGAATATGCGTGTGCGCATGCGCATAATACATTTATGCATGCGTGTTTAATGTATAACGGATAGTATAAGCTAAACTAAAATTATCTAATTCAGTTAATGTTGCAGATTGCGTTGTTCCTTAATCTTCGAATTGGATCCGGCTTTTTATTTTTTGCAGACTGTTAGAGCAATTTTATAAAAGTAAGCTTGAACTTTCGATTATGTCAAATAGAATTTCCGATACATATTTACTAATATGTAAAGGATCTACACAGCGAAAGTATGGGGGGAGACGCCGTGGCACGCAATGAATTGGAAGTTGATCTGTCAGCACTATCCTTATCTTCAGGGCAGATGTTTTTATTTTATTTGGCTTATAATTCCTTACTAAATGTAATATTTCATCTCGATGTAATCCGTCTTTGATATGATTTAAATCAAATTCCTCGTCATTATAATTTGCTTCCGACAGTGAAGAAAGTTACACAGAGGTTATTGAAAACGAAAAAATTTCAATTGGCAAATTAGTCGGTATTCTCGACACAGCAATTATAGGATTTGAACAGCGGAACTTTGTAATTGAAGAAGAAATTATGTATATTTATAGAATTAAAGAGAAAGTATTATCACATAAGACAAAGCAACTTAAACAACTTACATTGAAAGAAATGTTTAATAAAGTAAACAAATAAATATTAAGCTTTTTTTTTTTTTTTTTTTTTTTTTTGTAAATTTTGATACCTTTTAGATCGTAATTTTTCTTTATTTCATAAATTACGGTTTCATATTTTTAATTTTATAATTTCTGCATGCTATCTTACCAGATTTAAACTGATAATCTATAATCCGGAAAAATCGATAATCTGGAATCGATGAAGTCCCAACGAGTCCGGATTAACGACTTTTGACTGTACTATTCTTCTGGACCGGATTAAGAAATATATATATGTATGCATGTGTGTATGTTATGTTTGCATGTACATGTGCCTGTGTATGCATGAACATACATACATACCTACACATATATATGCATACATGAGTGCATATATTCATACATTTTTGAATCTGGTCCTGATAACAGAAGAGTGCCATTTTATTTCCATCAGTGTATAATCTACTTACAGATACCAAATTAGTTTTCCTTTCATTTAAAATCTCTTCATGCAATCTTTAAAAGAATTCTATGACATAAAATTTTTAAAAAGTATTTTTATTTTTCAATTTCTGGTTGTATCATTTTTCTAATAATATTTGCATAGCACAGTAAACAAAAAAGTATAAAAACTAATTTATTTAGGCACAGTATAAAAAATAATTTATTTAGGCATTTATTTTTTTATGTTAAATTCTGGCATTCTGAAATAATTAATGATATTCAAATTAACAACATTCAGATCATTGAACTTTACATTTTTTTACCATAGGATAAAAATAATAATTTCAAATAATAATTATTATAATGAATAAACAAAACTATGCTACAGAATAAAGATTTTAAGAAAATGATCACAAACCTGCTCGACCACTTTCTTGGTAAAAATTTTCCATTGACTTTGGCATAGAATAGTGAATAACAAAGCGCACATCAGGCTTATCAATACCCATACCAAATGCGACTGTTGCCACAATTACTTGAGTACTGTTTGAAGACCAACTTTTATGAATGGAACTCCTAGATTTAGCATCGAGTTGAGCATGATATGCTCTTGCACTTATTCCACGCTTGCGCAATTCCAAAGCAATATCTTCAGAATCCTTGATAGAAAAACAATAAATAATGCCTGAAATGCAAGATATTACATGAATAATAAAATATAACAGAAAAACAGTAAGCATGTTTCATAAAATACTTAGCTTGGGAAAAGAAACTGACATCTTATAATGTAGGTAGAAATAACACGCTGAATAAATATTAATCAAACAACAAAAAAATTTTTTAATTTGCAATATAATGCTGATTTTTGTTGTTTGACTTCTAAATTAATCTTATAATAATGTGTCAACATTGCAAAAGTAGATTACAATTGAAATAACCTATTGCAGTAACCACTGCTTTCCGAAAAATAAGTTGCGAACTTAGCTTTTGGAAAGCTAAGTGAATTCAACGTAAATGAAAAAAGCAAAGTGAATTCAATGTAAATGAAAAATTATACTTTGATAGACTCAAAGTTTATGTGAAGGAGATAATTTGGTTATTTATTCATGTCTAAAAAGACGTGAAAAATATGTACCTAAATAGATTTTAATTCACTTATATATATATATATATATATATATATTATTGATTCAATAATCATGCATCATATTTTATTGATTCACAAAAATTCAAGCTATGCAAACAAACAAAATTCATCTTAACGAGAAACACCAATTCTGACTTTTATACAAATTCTGCACCAATATTCTGTACTTTGAAGTGATCAAGCACACCACAAGGAATTTCAAGTGACATTTCAAGTTTCCAGTTCTTTGAGAGTAAACTGCTGAGAATATACAGGCAGATACAAAATGTTCATGGGCCAAGGACATAACAAGAAATTTTTTGTTGTGTGTGTGAAATGGGACCATTCTCCTTCCTCAGCTCATATCTCAAAATTAATTTCTAACTTTATAGTTTATTTTTAAAAGAATGTTTATGTGGAATATGGGATTTTGAATATTAATTTTTAAAAAAAGAGGTAGAAAAGTTAAATATATTTTTATTGAAATTAATGAAAAAAAATTACATTTTAATACACCTACAAATGAATTGCCTAGTATCTTTTCTTCTTGCTAAGAAGAGTCAAAATACCTTCAGGATCAACAGATACATCATAGAATAGACAACAGATATATCATGATTTATATATAATACAATAAGTATGTAGCAAGAGCACTTACTAAATCTTGGCTCATTTTATTTCTCAACAAACATTTCAGTAATCAAAGCAGTGGTTTCTCTTTCTTTCCACTGAGCTATACAATCCAAAGTTTCTACCACTGCTATAAGAAGATCCAAAATCACAATGAATGCATTATGCCTCTCAACTCAATAAGTCAGATTCATCTGCTTCAGACGTTTTTTATTTGAATCAGGCAATGTTTTATCTATTGTTACTATCAGAGTGCCTTGTCTTTTGGATGTATTAAGAAAATTATATACTGCAGTTATAATAACTGCAGTATATAATTTTCTTAGTTAAATTTTCTTAATTTTTCAGTTATTATAACTGCAGTATATAATTTTGATGCCAACACAGATCTGAATTACTTTCTCCAAGCAGGCATAGGAGACAGTCAGATTTAAACTGTGGCCATTATATTGCATATATAATGCAAATGATTACTGCTTAAAAATGCAGGTCAGTACACTTTTATGGCAGCCACTTATATTTCTTACATCATCAAAGCCCTTGTCCTTCTATATACTTGAAGTTTATTTCCACACTTTTCAAGCTATCTATGACAAGAGAAGTTTTATTTTCTCCCGTGCAATCACCAATGGGGGAAAGAAAACCACAAAAATCTTCAGTAACATGATATTCAGTTTCGTCAATATACTTGGTACAAATAGAAAGCTGCTCTACATCTGCTGTCCATCAACTAAAGCTGTGAAATTCTGAGAAAATTTTATCTTTGTCAGTACTTGGTGCCTTATACAGTTTCCACAGCCCTCCACAATTTCATTTTGAGCGTCTGAACTAGTATATGGATAATTTTGTCCAAAACTTTTTACATGTTCAACCAGATATACATCACCAAATCTGGCTCTGTATATCAGAAGATCTCTAAAGTTGTCTTCATTAGCTTCAGATTCTGATTCAATTCTGTCCGGTGGTCATGAATCTCTGTGGCTCATGAAGAGATAATCCTTACCTGCCACACAAAACCACAGTCTCAATTACTTCTGAATAAATAAATTCCTACATATACTTAAGGCTTATTGGGGGCCAGCGTTAGATATCTTACTGCCTGTCTCTGTGAGTCCTAAATTTTGCTACCCAGCGCCTCCCTTTGTCTTCCCTAAATTCTGCCACCCGGTGCGGCCATACGAGGCCTGGCACTGGTTCTGGGTTTATGTGAATTACAAATCGGTTATTCTTAATTCAAATAGCACTAAACTTAATCTTTTGGCCTGTGAGGATCATTAAGAAAATTTTATTTTAGCATATGGAAAGAAATTTTTGTTAAATTTTTCCTCGTCAAGATTTCTTGGTGCATTGAACTTAAATCTGTAATCATCCCCAAGCGTAATGCCAACATAAAAGGTTACAATACTCTTTATTATTCAATTACTAACATAAAAAAAGTTTTTAGGCACTGCTACATGAGTCATTACTCAAGTTGTCTTGTGTTGATAACACTGCGGTGATGAAAGTAAAATCTAATAAATAATGATTCGCCAGATTGGTGTCAGAGATATAATATATTAGTAGGTATAAAATCAACGATGTATCAGTGTAGAATGTTTTGGTTTGAGACTATGTCAAGCAGATATGCATCCACGGAGCCAAATTACTGGTCTTACAAATTTATGCTAAAATGATTGTTTCTTCAATAACACGGCATTTTATTTAGTGCCAAAGTGAAATTAAGAATCAGAATCTCTTGATGTTTTATTATGCGTGGGGAAGGGGGGGAATCAAACACGCATGCATAAAGCACACACACAAAAACATTTTTAAGTTGTTGGGGGCTTTGAGGTTCGGATTTTAGATCATTCCGGATATTGGACATCTGGATCTCGGATTTTGCACTGCATCTGCTTGGCTTGAAAGCACGGTTGCCAAATTAGTTTGAAGTAAATATGCCAACTGTTCTTGTGACAACATGTGGAACAAAACATGGTTTGAAGAGGGAAATTTTAGCACTCTAGTGTTTTCGTGATATTCATGTATTTTTCATATTTTGGTGTGCATATTTTTTTAAATTCTCATTTGTTTTAAAACTTAGCTATTTTTATGAAAGCAAATGCATTGAAAAAAAAAATTGTTTGAAATGATTTGTTTAAAATTTCAGAGTACAGCAATCCTTATGGGGGCTTGTAACCCCATTGCTATATCACTGCCACAGACATCCCAAGGATTTTTAATGGGTCAGTGAGGCATATACAGCCGCTATGACATACGAATATGGTGACCTTCACTTTTATGATACTCATCCTCTAGATTTATTCTAATTGGCCTTGTATTATAACAGTCAGCAAATTTCTTTTAAAGCGAAAAAAAATCCACATACACACTCACACACACACACACACACAAAAAAAAAAAAAAAAAAAAAAAAAAGGCTTTAATGAAAAAAATAATTTTTGAACTTAGTTAATGCTTACATCATTTTATTCAATATCTCATCAAAATAATCCAAGCCATAACAGTCTGACAGAACAGCCCCTCCAAAATGGCTTTCAAGAATAAATAATTTTGTTTAATAATACACGAAAATATATACAGCTTTTACATGGTACCCCATCAAAATAGGCCCAAGACTAATAAATAGCTCAACAAAATAGTCCTGCAGAAATAGCCCAAGACTAGCCTTTATCTAAAAGAACTCAGTAAAATTCACATTCTGAATGTTTATTAAAAAAACACTGTAGTGTCTGGTTCTCCTAAATTTTAATCCTAAAAGAAAGTAGTGCCCTCCTGAAAGCATGATTACATTTCCTTTAAAATCCATTGACAGCAGTTCAGATTTAAAGTTATGAGTTTTGGTCTGAAGCAACATTTCAAAAGGAAATCAACAAAGCACTCTATGAATATAAAGATTTTGCCACAGCACATATTGATGATATCGCAATTTTTTCAAAAGACTGATACCTCATATGATTCATTTAGATTTATTCACCAGATTGGAAGAATTTGCTTTGCTGTAAATATCAGCAAATAAACCATAAATTAAAATTTTGTCAAACCATAAATTAAATATTTGAATCATGTAACTGGGTCTGGGAAACATCAAGCAGATTCCGAGAAAATAAAAGCAATTTCCATATTATCAAAACCAAAGGTACCAAAGAAGCTCAAAAGTTTATAAGGTCTATGTAACTACTACTGATATTATATTCCAAAATATTCTGAAATAGTGTATCCTCTTAAGAACTTACACAGAAACAGATACCTGATGAAATATAATGGAAAGAAGAGCACAATATATCTTTTGAGAAACTTAAAGATGCTCTGATTAAAGCTCCATCATTGTATATAGTTTTGGGGCAAATATTCATTATATAAGGTGATGAATCTCAAATGGGAGTTGCACCATGCTTATCTCAAAAATCCAATGAACATATTTACCCCACAGCTTACGCAAGCCAAAAGTTAATTCGAGCAATCATAATCTACTACGAGGGTTGCTATTTATATTTCTGGCATAATAATGCAAAAACAAATGTTTATAATACTGTTTTTCAAAATATACTCCCATTAAGATGAATATACTTTTGCATGCGTTTGAACCAATTTTTGAAGCACTTTTTCCATTCCATTTGAGGTAACTCCAAAACATGTGTTTTGAATGCATCAACCCCTTCTTCGGGTGTTGCAAATCACTGACCATGTAATTTATTTTTGATGTGCAGGAATAAAAAAACTTATTGGGTGCCAAATCAGGGCAGTACAGCAGATGACCCCTGAATTCGATGTTTTGGCCCATCAAAAATTCCTTTGTTTGAGCCGATGTGCGAGAGCTCACATTGTTATGATGAAGAATGATTCACCTCTACTGCTTTTTTTGAATTTCTAAGATAACTTCTGGCAAAAAAATGGTCATGTATCATTTGGAACTGACCATCCTTTGTAGT